ACTTAAAAGGTTATAAGCAGCAGTCTTTAAAAGCAGCAAGAGTTCTAAGGACAGAGGGAAGAATTCTACAAGTCACAGGTTTTAGTCACAGGGAGTGAAGTGATTGCATGTTCTGCTTACTGGGGCGGCTGCTGCTGGTGGAGCTGATGAATGCACTGCAGAAGCCGAGGCAGAAGAAACAATTTCTTTAGAGGGAGTCTCGCTAACAGCGGTAGGTTTCTGCAATGAAAATGACAAATGATCAAAAAATCACATAGGCACCAGGCTACTTATTCCAGGCTGATGCTACATCAATTTGAGCTAGTCAAAGATTGCTATGTGCCTGCACCTTCTGCAATTTTCCTCATTCACTATTCTAAACATCTGACCCAATAGCCCACAAGTGCTCCTCTTCCTTTCAAGACTGATCTGGCGCCAAACTTTGGATGGGCAGGGAACAGCACTGCCAGCTGCTAGTCTCTGAACCGTCTTGGGCTGCAGGGGAAAAGAGGATGCCACTGCTCCTTGCCGGTCTACAATCTGCCAAATTTTTACCCTTTTCTACATATAATTCCAAGCAGGAATTGCACTGCTCGCACAGATAGGAGATGAAAGTGGCAGAAGAAAATGGGGTGGCAGCCAAGAAAGGCTAGTGAGTATTTCCATCTGTTATAGCAGGCAGGCAATGTACCAGGCGGTCAAAGCTGCACTTCCATCCCCTCTGCCCCTTGATTTTCCCTCCACGTTACTCTGGGAGGGGACCCCACTTGGGAATACTGAAAAAGGGAATCTCCGATCATTCCTGCCCTTTTTTAAAAGTAGACCATGCATTTCCACTGCTGACACCACAATTTAATGACCTACAACTGATCTTTTTATTATAACAGAGATCTTAATGTGATCTCTAGATCATATTCTTGTTACTGAAGGGGGTATATAGCACATGACCATCCAATGATTCCAACTGTCATGTCTAGTTTAACAGTACCACTACCTACTAAAATGTTTGGTTTAGATGGTAAATGACTTCTTCTGAGAATCTGCATCATTTACAGTTTCCAACTCAGATCATTGTATATCACTAACAACAGGTACCGTACTGTATCACTGGACCTAAAGTCTAAATAAACTCATGTTTTCCCACAAACTTACTTGAGGTTCAGCCTTTGATGTCGGTGCTGAAGAACAAGAAAAATCTTCTGACAAGGCATCAAGAAGCTCACTTTCACTGATGGGCTAGAAATCAAAAGAAACAGAAGCATAATACTAGTCTCGTCCTTTAAAAAAAGTACTTGCCAATGAAAACCAATATTGGTTGTTCACATTTTTCATTGTTAAAATATGGAAGAAATGAATGAAGTCTGGTGTGAAACCAAACTCTCACTTGTCTCTGCTTATTTTCTAGCAAAGGTGCCAAACTCTCCCATAAGACAGGTAGTATAAATCTTGCATTCTCTCTCATAAGGTGTTCCCTTAAAAGGGAGAGTTTTTTAAAAAAAATTAATCAAGTAGATAAAATGTGACAATCCATTTTGACCTATCCTTGGTTAGAATAAATTCCTAGATATTCAATAAACACATTCTCCCTTTCTTAATTTGGAAAAAAAAGCAGCATCAGTAAAAAAAGCCTTTTTAAAAAGTGTCTAGCATGCTGTTCTACTCACTTGAGATTTTTCTTCATGTTTTGGTAAAAGAGGCTTCCCATCTTTATCCTGTGGAAAAAGAATAATAATTGCACTATAAATGTGTTATGGTCACTTATTATTACATTTCATACAAAATCGTTTGGTAGCAAATTCAGACAGTTGACTTCCACTAATCATAGAATTCACAAGCAAATATAGAACATAACCCTTCAAGCCAGATGAAGTTCTTTAGCTGAAGATCTGTAAATGGAACTACTGACTTTCTTGGTTAGACTAGAATCTGGAAGAACCAGACTTGAATCCCTACTCTGCCATGGGAGTTTGCTGGGTTACCTTGGCACAGTCACATTTAGCCAAACCTACCTCACAGGGTTGGTGTGAGTATAAAATGGAGAAGAGAATGAGGTAAGCTGTTTTGGGTCCCCACCAGTGTTCCCTCTAAACTGAGTTAGTGTGAGCTAGCTCACAGTTTTTTAGCCTCTGGCTCACACTTAGCTCAGGAAGGATGGCTCCAGAGCAAAACTAATTTATGCAGTAGCCAAATCGCTTGTTCACAACTTTAATGCCAGCAGCTCACAAAGTAGAATTTTTGCTCACAAGACTCCACAGCTTAGAGGGAGCATTGATCCCCACTGGGGAGAAATGGCAGAGTGTAAATGAAGTAAATAAATAAACAAAACCTTTTGCAATACTAAATCTGAAATGACAACCCCCTCCAGAAAAATTCATATCAGTTTTTAAAAATATATTAATATTCCCTGTTGAACAGAATAGAGATGTTTGCCATAATCTTCAGTTCATAATAGAAAGCCAAACATGGTTTACTGCATATAGGAGACATTTGTCTGCTGACTGCACAACCTGTACTGATTTCATGTCCCTATAGTAAATACATAATTGTGTAGAATGGAACACTGGACTTACTGCGAAGGTTCCTTCTTCTTCTTTTTTTTTTGGTAAACAAATTTTATTTTCTCAGGAATACAACATGTAAGATTAAATCATTTCATTCTATCAATTGTCTACCCCATTCCCAGTTCCTCCCCTCCCTCCAATGGCTTCCCACAATGCTTCCACCCCTGCTCCAAATTACTTCATATCATCATCAATATCAGTTTCTTATCATTACAATCTAGAGATAACATCATTTGACTTAATATTGATCTAAACATATTAAGTTTTGTTTCACATCCCAGTTCTTTTCCAGATATATTTTAAAGTCACTCCATTCTTGAAAAAACACGTCGTCTTCTTTGTTGTTCAATTTCTTCGTAATTTTGTCCATCTCTGCCATGAACAGAACTTTTTGTATCCAGTCTTCAATTTCTGGCACTTTCTCTGTTTTCCAAAATTGTGCATAAATCATTCTCGCTGTTGTGATTAAGTACCAGAATAAAGTCTTTTTAGTTGTATTGACTTCTTCCATTTTCAATCCTAAAAGCAGAATTTCCGGTGCCTTTTTAAAAGAGCATTTCAAAATTTTTTGCATTTCATTGTGGACTTTTGTCCAAAAGTCAACTGCTTTCTCACAAGTCCACCACATGTGGTAAAATGAGCCTTCATGGCTTTTACATTTCCAACACTTATTTGACATATTCTGGTTCATATTTGCAATTTTTTTCGGAGTCATGTACCACCTATACATCATTTTATAACAATTCTCTCTAACATTGGTACAAGGCGATATCTTAATAGAATTTTTCCACAAATATTCCCAGGTTTCAATAGCCACTTCCGTATTCATATTTATCGCCCATTTTATCATTTGCCCTTTTACAGTCTCATCTTCAGTATACCATTTTAGTAACACTTTATACATTTTAGAGATATTTTTTCCCTCTCCACTCTCCCAAACCTTTTCCATCTCGTTTTTTTCCTCTCTAAAACCATAGTTTCTTTTATCTGATCTAAAAAGATCAAAAATCTGCATATATTTCAGCCATTCATAATCATATTCAATTTCATTCTGCTTTTTCATTACCCATTCTGTTCCCACTTTTTTAATTAGATCTTTATATGGCAACCAATCTTTATCTCTATGTCTTGAGTAAGATGTTAACACTTCCACTGGTACAATCCACAATGGTCTTACATCACAAAAGTATTTTTTATACCTCATCCATACCACAAATAATGCTTTTCTTACCACATGAAGCTTAAAAAAGCTATCCATTTTTGTTTTGTCATACCATAAATATGCATGCCAACCAAATCTACAATCATGGCCTTCTAACCCCAGTAACTTATCATTTTCTAATTTCACCCACTGTTCCATCCAGGTTAGACAGACCGCTTCATAATATAGTCTAAGGTTTGGTAATTGTAACCCACCTCTGTCTTTGGCATCACAAAGAATTTTCATCTTGATTCGCGGTTTCTTGCCTGCCCAAACAAACTTTGATAGTTCTTGTTGCCACTTAAGTAGCAAATCTGTCTTACTGAGTATTGGTATTGTTTGGAACAGGAACATCAAACGTGGTAGGACATTCATTTTTATAACTGATATTCTTGAAGGTTCCTTCTTCTTGAGGGCAAGGAGGACACTCTGATACGCTTGGGTTCCTCTTCTCACAATCCCTGGAGACAAGAAATTGATTGCACTTTCCATCTCCGGAGGGAGAAGGAGCCCACCCTCAGTCTGGAGACTTCCACAGCTGATAACAGGCCTCAATGCAGACAACAAGTCTTATAGAACCATATGAAACAAACCATATAGGTAGACATAAACTGTTAGAACAGTGAAAGAACAATGAACATGGAGACTGGCAGTCAGTCACCCTTTAGGAAGCGTAATAGGCTGAACAGAGGTAAGTCCAGAGTGTCCTCCCTGCCCTCGAGAACAAGGAACCTTCATGGTAAGTCCAAAGTTCTGTTCTCTCTCAAGGGGAAGAGGACACTCTGATACGCTTGGGATGTTACTTGCTGTAGGACTCTTCACCCAAATGCTGCACCAGCCATGGTGATAGAATCCATCTTGTAAACACTGACACCAAGGCCCAGGTAGCGGCCTTGCAGATATCTGCAACAGATGCATTTGTTTTGAATGCTGCTGATGTAGACGTACTTTTTGTTGAATGAGCTGTGATCCCCTCAGGGACTTGCCAAGGAGATACATTCTTTTAGCCACCTGCTCAATGTAGCCTTAGAAACTCTTTTCCCCTTGACTACTGGAAGAAAAGCCACAAAAAGGGAATCAGACTTCTGATATAAATGCGAAGTGTTCTGTGGCGGTCAAGCAACCACCAGTTCTTCTCCCCAGGATGAGATGGCTTCGGGCAGAAGGATGGCAAATATATCTCCTGTGAAGTTTGAAAAGGTGTTGATCTTGGGAATGAAGGTGTGACCTGTGCACAGAACCACCATGTCTGTGCACAGAACCACCTTTCTGATGGAAAGAGCACCTATCTCTGAGACCTGTCTTGCTGATGTAACAGAGTAAGAAACTTCAGGGAAACCTCGCTCAGAGGCTCAAATGGAAAACTGGTTAGAGCCTGAAGAACGACATGAAGTCTCCAAGAGGGGAAACCTGTGCACTGTAGGGGGTTGAGACAAAGTCACTCCCTTCAGAAATCTCTGCACCGGGGAGGTGGGGTTTCGGCGAGCTGATGGCGGCTGTGTCTCCTGGGATCTCCCAGGAAAGCAGCTCGCAAACCAGCAGTTAGAGAGGGGGTGCGAATGTCCACGCCCCCCCGGGGATCCTTGCGAAGGGTCTCCAGTCATGGAGCGCTGAGGGTCGTCTCTTTCCCAGCATGCTGTCGGGAAATTGAGGCATCCCTTTGCTCTGACAGTCTCTCTGCTGCGTTCTGGCAAGGACTAAGCTACGCACACCCCAAATCAAGCGAGTAGAGGTCGAGCAGCAAATAAGCATATCTATTGGCGAGATCTACTTGATTTACATATTTATTTTATTTATTTATTCGATTTGATATACCGCTCTAACCCCCGTAGGGGTCTCTGGGCGGTTTACATGAGGGGTGCTAATCACAATTTAACTCTAACTAAGGCCACATTATAACGGGGAGTGGGATAGCCTACCGGCACCCAGGTGGAGATAGATGTCTTTTCCTGTCTGGCTGGCTTCATTCCCGGCGGTATATGGCTGTTGTTCTTCTGGCGCATTTTGCGATCCGGCACGCAGGTTCTATTATTATGAGAATCTGTTTCCTCGGAGGGCGGGGTTTCGGCGAGCTGATGGTGGCCGTGTCTCCTGGGATCTCTCAGGGAGGTGGCTCGCAAACCAGCAGTTAGAGAGGGGGTGCGAATGTCCGCACCCCCTGAGACCTTTGCGAAGGGTCTCCAGTCATGGAGCACTGAGGGTCACCTCTTTCCCGGCCCGCTGTCAGGAAATTGAGGCGTCCCTTTGCTCCGACGGTCTCTCTGCTGTGTTCCGGCAAGGACTAAGCTACACACGCCCCAAATCAAGCAAGTGGAGGTTGAGCGGCAGATAAGGATATCTGTCAGCAAGATCTGCTTGATCTACATATGAAGAGTGAGTAAAGTTGAAACGAAACAACAGAAAGCCCCCCCCCCGGGGAAAAGCGAGGGGGGAGAGGGGACTCTCCTCTGTTAAGAACTGTTTATAAGCGTTATGGAGCTGGAAGAAAGAGGAGGCATGTTTAAAAGTGGCAATGGGCTGTACGGAGAGATTCCAGGAGGCAGTTAAGCGATGAAGCAAGTTTTTGGGACTTTGGCAAACTTTCTAAAAGTAAACATCCTTAAAAATGGCGACGGACAATGTAGTAAGAGCAAAAAGCGATATCCAAGCTTCCTTCAGAAAGTGGAAGAGCTGCTGGTTAACCATGTGACTCTTGCAAACTGTGTCTTAACCCTTTGTCCTCTTTAAGCCTTTGTTCCCTGTTGGTATAAACGAGGTACTATGCAAGAACTGTGCTACATGTCAGCTTTTGCTTTTAAAAGGACTGTGTGAATATTGGAGAAGCGTCTAACCAATGATCATAGGGGCTTCCAGGATCGAAGAGGAGAGTCAAATGGGCATTTGCAATTCGAAGGGCCTGTATGCAGCCCATAAGCGAGGTTTAAAGCGAAGGAGTTATCCTCTATGGTTATATCCTGATTAAGTCTGCTGGGCAATAAGGTGACGAGACTCTCTTCAAGCTGGGCAGTGAAAAGCAAATTGGAACAACCCCTATGATTGAAGGCAAGAATTTAAGTGGAACAGTCCTGGAAAAAGGAGAAAGAACTTTGTTTTGAGATGGCCAGTTCCTGATACAGCAAGATGGTGCCACAGGGAAGAAGAAAGAGGAAAACAGCAATGGAAGAGAAAATGAGATTGTGTAATATCTACTGAGGGAGACTTATTGTTAATTTGCTTTTAATGGTGGAGGGAAAAATAATGGTTAAATGAGATGCCATTGTTCTTTGTAATTTGTGTCGAAGTTAAATAGCAATTCTCCTGGATTACTCTTCATATAGTCAGATCTGTTGGGATGTTTTTACAAGCTATGACGATGATTGATCACTCTCAGTGTTAAAGAAAGCTCTTTATTATTGTTAAGCAAATTTTTCACAAGCTGTATGTGACCTCCAACCCTTGGGTTTTTAGTGGGTTTTCTTTTCTTTCTCCTATAGTGTGTATTTTCTTTGTAGTTTTTAGTAAATGCAAATAAAAAATTCCCTATGGGGGGCCATAAAAAAAGAAAGAAATCTCTTCACCGCTGGGTGCCTGGAAAGTGCTTGCTGAGAGACTCCATCCTGTAGGAAGGACAATACCCAAGGAAGATCTAGGGTGTCAGGTTGCAGACATTTGCTCTTGCACCATCTGGCAAAAGCCGTCTAAGAACTGTTGTAAATTCTAGAAGCTGAGCTTCTCCAGGCCACCCTCATAGTTTGAATGACCTGATAAGAGAAACCCAATGTAGTCTGCGCTTGCTGCTCAATCTGCATCCTGTCAGATGAAGCCAAGCTGGGTCTGGATGACAGATGGGACCCTGGGTTAGCATACTGGGTGACAGTGGAAGTTCCCATGGAGGCTGAACTGATGATTTCAGCAGACTGGAAAACCAAGGTCTCCTGGGCCAGAGCAACTCTGCCTACTGCTGTTTCATTTTGTTCAGAACCTTTGAAATCAAAGGTGGTGGTGGGGGAAGGCATAAAGAAGGCTCGATGGCCAAGGGGACATCAGATCATCCACTTGTTCTGCTTGTTGACATTGGTGTCTCAAGAAGAATCTGGGTGTCTTGGCATTCGTCAGGGAGGGCAAAGAGATCTACTCATGTTAGGACAAAATGTAGATCCAGGGACTGAAATGGCTGAGGGACCACTCCCCCTGGTCCAGCCTGGAGCGGCTGAGCCAATCTGCTCGAACATTTGCTATGCTGTTAATGTGTTCTGCTCTGAGAGAGGCCAGAAGTTGTTCTTCCCAGGACATGCGGATAGTTGACTCCTGCTGTAGTGTCTTGGCTTTGGTGCCTCCCTGGTGGTTCATGTGCACCTTGGCTGTGGTGTTATCTGTTCATATACATATGTTCAATTGAGACAGATAGCCTTGGAAGTGAGATGTACTAGATGACACCAGATGCAGTTCCAAAAGACTGATGCTGATGGAAGCTTCTTGATAGGACCAAGTCCCCTGCATGTGGCCCAGTGCACAATGGGCTCCCCAACCCATCAGGCTGGTCTGTGGTCACTTGGAAGGGCTTGCCTACAAGCAAATGTTTCTTGGTTGTTCACCAAAAGAGATCTTCCTGAGATGCTGACTGATGCTGACTCTGATGTGCTTTCAAAGGGCTATGAGCCTTTGATATGGTAATAGTGTCCACTGAAGTACCCAAGAGTGTGCCTGGGTCTAAGGGATTGTCTTGATAGCTGCAATCATGTAACCTAGCAAATGTGCTAGGATCATCAAGTCCATTAATTTCACAGAGTGAACCTGTTTCACAGTCTGGATGGTCTGCTCTGCTCGGTCTGGTGGAAGGAACACTTTCTCGATTGAATCTATCACTAACCCCAAATGTGTGATGACCTGGGCAGGTGTTAGTTGGCTCTTCTGGAGGCTGATTAGGAAGCCATGACTGGAGAGGTATTGGATAGTTTCCTGAATGTCCCTGAGCACCTGTTCTTGTGAAGGTGACCTTATAAGGAGGTTGTCAAGGTAGGGATGGGTATGGATTCTTTTGAGACACAAGCTTGCAACAAGTGAGATTATCAGTTTTGTGAATATCCGGAGTGCTGATGCCAACCCAAATGGCATGACCCTGAGCAGAAAGTGGTTTAGACTGAAGGTGACCCTCAGATTCTGTCTGTCCCGGAGAGTTACAGGCACATGAAGATATGTCTCAGTCAAATCAATGGAGGCCATGAAGTCCTCTGGCTGCAGGGTTTCCACAATGGTCTTCAAGGTCTCCATTTTGAACTTCCTGTACCTCACAAACCTGTTCAGGAATTTGAGGTCGAGGATAGCCCTCCAGTTGCCGTTCTTTTGAGGAACTATGAAAAAAGTAGAATAGACGCCTAAGAACCTTTGCCACAATGGAACAGGTTTGATGTCGGTGATCTCCCCCAGATATCTGATGACATCTTGTGCACGCTGTCTCTTGATGGGGCAGTGAGGGACTGGTGAGCTCAGGAATCTGTTGTGAGGTGAGAACTTGATCATGTCCAGGCTAGAATCAGACATGAAGGCTGCTGCTCTCTCCAGATTGTGCATGTAACTTGACAGGCACTGATTTAAATCTGGGTATTCTTGAAACAATTTACAAAGCCACGTGTATGAGGCTCTTGCCTTCAAAGAACTGGCAGCAGAAGCTTTAATGGAGAAGCCAATGGCCTCATGGGCTCTGCAGAGAGCTGAGTCACTTTTTCTCTCATTGGAATCTTTCCCTCTACCACTGGAACTTTCAGTAAGCTGGTTACCTTGGGAGGAAGAGAGTACATTCTTTTAGCTTGTCCGGAATGTAAACAGTTATTGGTAGGATCTGACCATTCCTCTTTTATCTCAGTTTTAAAAAAGGAAGGGAAGGGAAAAGTTGAACCCAGCTCTCTAACCCTAGGGAAAACCTCAGGGGCCCCTTTATCATCATCCCATTCTTCCTTGGGGATTTCTACCCTTGGGGGCAGAATGCTGTAGGATTTTTAATGCTATCTGTAAGAGAGTGGGAAGCTCCTCATGAGAAAAAAAAGGTGGGGAGTTGGCTTGCTCTGTTGAGGGACTGCGTCCTCAGACAACTGGCCCTCTTTATTCAGATCTGCTTCAGAATCCTCAGAGCCTAAGGGAGAATCCCTATCTTTAGATCTGTAGTCTGAGAAATCTGAATAACTGCTCCTAACAGGGAAGGTGCTTTTACAGGCAGTCTTTGTTGGCCAAGAGGAGCCCTGACCTTTCTCTGTATCTAGAGGCCTTGAAGAAGCTAAATTTTTTGAAGCTGTTTGACTGGGGGGGGGGGCTCTTGTTCTGTTTTCTGGGAGATAAAGCAGTGTTTTTTTCCTTATGTAACTGATTGGAGACAAATTGTTCTGGCCAGTTCTGGAAGCCTCGTAGGACAACAAAGGGCTCTCCCCCGTCTGGTCCCCCCCTCCCGGGAGTTATTGTCCCTTCAACTCACTGCTACAACAGCTGCAGAAGGCTGTGTTGAGCAGGCCTGATGGGCTGATACAGGCCATCCTGGCTGATCAGTAGAAGGCACAGTTTTGGCACCAAAAATCGAGCCTGCTTCTTCATGATCCAAGCCAGGTGATTTGTGGCCTGCGGCTCTCTCCAGGAGCTCTGCCGCAGTGGGACAGCTGGGCAAGCAGGTTTGCATGGATTTCCTACTCCTCTGCCTGGGGATCACCTCCCCCAACTCTCTCTCCGAGAAGGTCCCATGGTTGGAGACCTCCAGCTGCGGACACTGCCATGACTGAAGCAGTGGACAAAAGGCAAACAGCCTCGGGAAGACAAGGCCAGAACAACAAACAAAGTTGTTTTTTTAAACAAAGGGAAAGGAACACAGAAAGGAACACATGTGGAAAGAGAAGAACAAAGGGCAACCAAAGGAGCTCCTTAAAGGAAAATCTCAGGAACTCTCTAAATCCACTGCTCTCAGGTGGAGGCAGGAAAAAGACTGAGGGTGGGCTCCTCCTGCCCCCAGAGATGGAAGGTGCAATCAATTCCTTCCTCCAGGGATTGTGGGAAGAGGAACCCAAGAGTATCAGAGTGTCCTCCTCCCTTTGAGAAGAAAAACACAAGCTAGTTCTTTGTGCTTGTGTTAAATTGACACATACTAAATCCATAGGAAATTCTGTTTGATGTTCAAAGTGTACAGAGATCTGACCACAAGAAAGACGCCATATACTACTACCTGATTAACAACCATAATTCAGAGGAAGCCTCATCATCACTGAGGTATAGGGTTGCCAAATCTAAATCACTCACCGGCAGGGGGAGCGTCTTCTCGCTCCGGGAGCTGGCTGGGGATGTTTGCGCGCGCCGCCAGAACGTCACCGGAAGTGACGCATGACGTGGCACGTTGGGGGCGTGGCCGAGATCTTTGGGGGGGAACCATATGGTTCCCCTCCCCGACGATCTGGGCCACGCCCCCAACGTACCCTACGTCGTGCGTCACCTCTGGTGACGCAGCTTCGGGGAGCGGGGTTCCCCCCGGGGCCCGATTTCGTCGCATCGGAAATCGGGCCTCCAAAGCGGGGGATTCCCCGCCCCCCAGCCCCATTTGGCAACCCTACTGAGGTAATACATTTTAAAAAAAACACACACTACCACCACAACACACTCCAGAACCAGTTTACCTTTGCTTCAACTAGTCTATAATCAGGGGGGATGGTTTCTTCATCTTCTCCAAGTTTCTCATGTTCTTTTTGTTTTGCTTTTTCCTACAGAGCAAGGGGGAACAAGAATTGTCTCAATAAGCATAATTTGGGGATCTGACCAGTTATATGGATTCAGAATAGTATATTTATAAAATGGTAGCCAACCATACAAAAGATGGACTCATTTCCCTTTCATCTGATATCACTGGATTTCTTAATAAGTAAAACACAACACAGTTTATGCTACCTTTAGAAAATACTAACAGCTTGAAGAGCAGAGATATATTTCTTGAACTGGAGAAGTGAGCAGTGACTCACAAAAGCTCATAACGTGCCACAAATTTTGTTGAAGAGCTAATGGACTCTTGCTCTTTTCTACTGCTACAGACAGACTAACTCGGCTACCCATCTCGATCTATCTCCATGGAAATACCCCCTGTGACAGACAGGAGAAAAAGCCACCCAGCAACAGGGGAACCAATGAGAGCAGGGCTTCAACAACCAATGGGAGCTGTGAGCATAGTTTAAGTTAAAATTTGACAGTTAGAAGTGGTCAGCTAAAGATGAAAATTGTTTGTTATGCTCATCCTCTAACTAACCTATACAGGGATCAGATTTTATTAAGTCTTCCTATATTGTCTGCAGCCAGGGTGCTGTTTTTACTTCTAACGACATTGTTAAAGTCTTACAGGCAAGGGTTCCCCTCCCACCTTGTCACGTACAACGTGAATAAGAAAAGTTCATATTTTACAGAATGTTTACATTAAATTGTTTGTGTTACAACAAATAAACTTCATTCCCAAAAATGAAGACAAAAGCTATCTTCTCTCCATTCAATTTACACCCCCACCCAAGTTATCAGTCACAGGTTTGGGGGCATTGTTTTACAGCCAAGCCAGGAATTCTATCCCAGAACATTGTTCCCACTGAGATTCTCCATACAAAGGGAAGGCAAGTCACAAATTCCTGGAGTGATACTGAGTAGACAGGTTTAGGATTGCACTTTTTATTAACTAAAATCGTGGTTAAGTGAAGCCCAAGCATGACAGACAGAAATTAATAATGCACACAAGGCCTAGTCACTGTATTACCTTCACTTTATCCACAGCCGGCTTTTTTTCTTCTGGATCAGGCTCTTTCCCCCCTAGACTTCCAGATAAGGCTTCCAACACATCATCAGGTACATGTCCACTCTACAAATAACATTATTTTAGACCAGTTCAATCTTATTAGAACACACCGAAAGGCAAATTCATAAATAGCTAACCTCAAACCAGATAATTATTAGATTTTAAATATCAAAATATTAATATAACGAGAATACCCGATTACCAGTTATAAAGATGAATTGTCTAGAGGTGCTATGATCTGTGAAATGGATAAAATAAATGAAACTCTTCGCAGCCTAGCCTATTAAAAAAAACCTGTGTCTATTTTCACACAGTTTCCATTATGTTTCAGTTGAACTTGGTCAGGAAAAAGAAGGCACCCAGAGGACTGTACCAACAATCGTTAAATATATCCCACCCATAATGTGCAGAGGCACAGAAAATCTACAATCTAATTATTCTAAATGCTTAGAGAGAAGAAATTTGAGATGAATTGAAACTGAGATGAATCATTCTGATTCTTAAAACATAGCCCTTTGGCCCATTAATGTTAACTCTCTTAATTGATTACTCACTGGAGAAGTTGCCAATGGAGCTGAAGACTGAACAGAAGAAACATGAGTTGTGGATATCACCTCTTCTTTAGGAGGTATTTTGGGTTCAGCTGATGAAGGCTTCAGAAATAAGATAAAGTGAGTTTTGGTAACAAGATCTATTGTTATTCAGCATATGTCCTTATGAAAATTACACAATTATGACTAGAATTCTAGATAGCTAAAATTATCTGTGATTATTACAATTTTAAGCCATCCTTCTTCGAAAGAGCTCACAGGGGTATACATGTGTCTCCCATCTTCTATTTTATATTAGGTATGCAATCTCCTGAACATGCTATCTTGATAAGAACATAAGAGAAGCCAATGTTGGATCAGGCCAATGGCCCATCCAGTCCAACACTCTGTCACACAATGGCCAAAAATACCAGGTGCCACCAGGAGATCCAGTACTGGGGCCAGGACACAAGAAGCCAAATACTGATATTTTAAGCATCTCTCAAGTGATGTCAGGATTACTTCTATTTTCCATTCCTAAGCACTACTATATTCTGTTTGAGGGATGCTTTCAGGTTTAATTGTAGATGAACACAGGTGCTGCTGGTCCTCCCCCACCCCACTCCCCCATGTGCCTCAATTTTTAAACTTTAAGAGATCACTCACTGGAGAAACTACTGATGCAGCAGAAGATTGCACTGGAGGAACAGCAGCAGAACCATCCACTTTTTCACTAGGCCCTTTTGGGGTTTCAGCAGCTGCAGGTTTCTGAAATGAAACAACTAATAAATTTTGATTACAGTACATATTAATATTTTGAGCACCGTCAGCTTTCAAATCTATACACCCACTGTGCTGCCAACACAATCCCCTCTCCCTCATTTATGATGCACACAGAATATTTTTCACAAAAGTGTTTTGCTTTTGGAAGCATAGCAGGCTCAAACTGATTCAAATTCAGTTCTACAACTTGCAGAATGATAAGTTGGTCCCTAAACAGCTGTAGAGTTAGGGAAGATGATCCAAATGACATTACTGATTTGTTCCCAAAGCCCAACCTCAGTGCAAATCACAGTTCATGACAATAAGAGAGAGTTCAGAGTTCATATCAAAGGGAGTGCAGCCCTTACTGAGAGTCGTTATGCAGTCAGAGAATGTTCTATGGACAGAGGGAGTAGTGGGTAAGTTGGCCTCACAGTGACCCATTGCATGGCTTACATTTCCCATCACACTCACATACTTCATGGTTAGTTGGACTGAAGAACTCCAAAAAAAGCCATAATTCATCTTAACAAAGTTACTTCCCCCTCATCCCTGTTTGTAAGTCCACACAAATGGAGTGTAGATGCCCCCAGGCGCCCACTGACCATGACTACAATACAAGCAACTTAAATAAAAGGGGAAGAGCATTTGGGGAAAGAATGCTTCAGAGAGTAGCGGTGTTGGTCAGCAGCAGAACAGCTAGATTCGAGTCCAGTAGCATCTTAGAGACAAACAAGATTTTCAGGATATAAGCTTTCATGAGTCAAAGCTCACTTCATCAGAAAATAATGAAAATTCTATTCTTCAATTAAGCTTCTTTCATTTTATGACATCTGCATATGATATGACGAAATGTCCTGGATTTCAATTGCCCCTTCCTGAACAACAACAACAAAATCAGCAGAAGCTCACCTTAGTCACATCAGTAGGTTCAGATGGTTCTGATTTTTCTGCAGGAGGAGCAGGACAGACAAAATCTTTGGAAAATTCATCGGCTAGGTCAGATTCACTAATAGGCTGTGAACAAAAGTTTTTGATAAATTGCAACTTAAAAAAAACAACAAAACGTGTAATTTATCAATTGGCAATGGATAAGGAATCCACAAAAGAAACTTGGGGCAAAGCACCCAGGTGTAATACAGGTGGATCTCTGCCTGCAATAATAAGCATCATGTACATATTTCTCAACATTCCATTGGGAACTGCATATGCAGCACCAAACAGCAACTCTGTGCTGTCAGCTTGGGCTGCAGCGCCTGTTTAGGGGACTCCTGGTCCCCTTCTCTCTAGGGATTTAGAACATCTGAAGAAGTGATTAGCACTGGACAAACTGACTGCACCAGCCATCTGCTACACAGGCACCTACTGTATATGTGTGGAAATCAACCCCCAAGGCAGATGCTCAGCGCTATTTTGAAATATTACGTACAAACAAGAAAATTAAAGTATGCTGTATAGTTATGCCATCAAGTAATAGGAACTCTGAAAATTTAAGACAAAATGAAGGTGTAAAAAGGCATGGAATGCTAGTATAGCAAAAAGGCTACCCTACATAATACTGGAGAATGCACCACGGGCTGACATTTTCAGTCTGCAGGAGAAGCCTAAACCAAAAGGGGATTAACTAATCTTATCTTATTTTAAAAATTGCTTCTGTACCTATGTTTCCTTTAACCACATTTCAACCACAAAAATATAAAAGAATTGTAAAATTCAACTTCACCACTTGATTTATAGTGCATATTAATGAATTCAAATCAAATAAGTATTGACCTTAGGTTTTTCTTCAGGTTTTGGCAACAAGGGCTTCCCATCTTTATCCTAAATAATTTTAAAAAGGAATAAATTGCATAATTGACAACAGCAACTTTATGAAACTTTATGTCAGTGTTTTTAAAGTTGATTCTGTAGAAGATTTAATAAAATAAAAAACAGCACCGGTAGCACAATCCTAAACATGATTAGAACCCATCTTTATTACACCCATTGACTTCAACAGACTTAGAAGGAATGCACTGTAAGTCTTCCCAACAGTTAATCCAAGGAATAAATTTTCTTTGAAATGCCACTGGAATTAGGCTAAAAACTGCGTTTACTGCATTTTTATGTGTATGTGTGTCATGTTTATTGCCTTTTAAAAAGAATGTTGAAAGGCAACAAACAGTTACAACTGTACATCTGTCTAATATGGAAATGGTCAGATGCTAGACAGAAAAGCATCAATGTCAGACAAGGTTTCAGAAGCAGATTCTGCCAAACACATTTCTGAAGCCCAAACTACATATTAGATAGGAACAAGCTGTGGGGAGACTTGCAGGGGGCACCTCATTTTCCCCTCCCCTGCTATTTCCTCTTTCCTTTTACTGAAAGCCCCCATACACTCTCCCCTTACCCCCGTTTTCTTCTCTCCTTCCCACCCACCAGCCAGCCTCCCTTTATCTACCCTGTCTTCCACACTCTCTCCTTCTCTCCTCCTGGCAGCCTCTTCCCAAAAGAACCCTGGCTGAGTTGCATAGTGCCAGTCACCAGGCTAGACCCAAGTGGGGAACCTGCAAGGACTGGCAGGGGGTACATCACTTTCCCATGCACCCCCCCTCCCCAAACTATTTCCTCCTAGCAGCCCCCATAACCTCAATATTCCCTGCTTCCTTTGCTCCTTCCCACCCCGAACCAATTTACCTTTTATTTGGCCCCATCTTCAGCTAAATTTATATCCTGCCTTTCTCCACACAGTCATTTTATCATTTGGGGGGTTAACGCCTCCTCTTTTAGGTTTCAGATTTTTCTGCAAACCTGGGTCTTTTCTCAGGTTTGCAGAAAGATCTCTCTTGTCTGTCCATGACCCCAATCTCTGGATTGAAGTATCCACAAATAGGGCCATGTTGAGAATTAGATATATTGATGTGTTGGGATTACCAGCTCACATCTTCTCTGTGATGTGTAGAATGTATCATTCATCACCCCTGTGTTTGCATTTTCCCTTTCTTCCTCCTCCTCCTGCTTTATTGGCTGCTGCATTTTAGGGACTGGAAAGCACTAATGTGTCCAAGTCAGTTCTGAAAGCAAGAAAGTGGCCACAGACAGTTGCCAGAGAAACTGGATGCTTATCTGTGTCCCCCTCTCTGTTAGTGTTAGCTTATTTAGGAAACAAATACAAGTGCAATGGCAAAAATCTGGAAAACACTGATTCCAATAAAGCATGAATTGTATCCAATCAATTTCATTTTCCCTCATCAAACTTACACTTAGCAAAAAAAGCAAAATTCACAGCCTATGTAATGAAAACTTGAGATTAAAAATTACCGTGGCTGGTTTTAACCTGTACTCTGGAGGAATGGCATCATCTTGTTCACCAGGCTTTTTTTCTTTCTTTTCTTTGGCTTTTGGCTGAATAAAAAACCATCACAACCTATTAACATGGGATCCACCACACTGGATCATACCAAGGCCTACCCAATCTAGTACTTTGTTTCTAGCACTGGCCAACTAAACGTTTTAGGAAGGTCACAGGGGGGGGGGATGTTAATAACAACTACCCCCCAGTTTGTTCCTAGCATTCCATAAACATATGCATACTAGCTAAAATTATGGTACTTCCATTTTTAGTTACCGTAATAACCACTGAGATTATAAAAACTGATGGGCAACAGGTTTTTCTAAAAACAATCACAGTGCCTTGTGGAGACTGATTGTTCTGTGCTTAGTTCTATTCACATTCTTCATAAAATGTGTAATTTTAAAATCTTCTGTCATGTCCTTTTTATAAATAAAAACAGATACATATTACAGAATATGTCAGTTGACAATAAAATCAAGAGGGGAATATACAAGAAGAACTATAAAAGGAATGCTTTTATTCTCAGAAATGGCCCAATGCATTTCAGTCTTTGTAATAAAGCATATTTAATAGGGAAACAAATTATCTGAAAAGAAGAAAATTTACTGAAGGAATGATAAAGGGAAGATACCTTTCAAAAACTGACAAATCTCAATGCATTGGGATAATTCTGAAAATAGAGCTATTTCTTTACAGAACATTCTGAAGATTTTAATCTAATTTTTGTTATGCACACTAAGGACATAATCTGGCCAGAGTTAAGTACTTTCAAGTTTCATGGCTTTCAATGGCAACATTTAAAACATGTCCGTAGCTCTTCCATTGAAATCAATTGGGCATGTGACATATATTTCTAACTACCACTGCTTCCAAAAGAGTTAGTAACATGCTAAAATTCTATCACTGGAGACACAGGCTGTTAAAAGTGCTCAGCATTCGCTGGATCACACCTATGGTACCCATGTACTGTATATATCCATGTGCCTATAGTATGAAACCTCCTACTATTATTAACTATCTACCAGTTATTTGTAGACTATATTAAATGAATGAAATAGTCTGGTAACAATTCTTACAATATGAATTTTTGTAAGGATCGTCCCAAAGTTGTACATGTACACACATATACTTCCCACTACAAAGAAGTTACACTATGTTTCGGTATATATACACATACACACGCCGTTAGCTGCTATTTCCACAGACTTTATCATGCACTATGGACTACAGGCATTTTTTACTTGTTTTGGAAGTATCCATAGTGTATTAATACCTCTTCAACTTCCACGATGGAGCTGATGTCTACTTCAGGCTCTGGTTCTGGCATGCCAAGAGTATCTACGAGAGCATCCAGGGCACTGCTGCTAATTTCCTCCTGCATTTTAAAAGTATAACAACATTCTGTATTTGAGGAAAAACAGGGGTCTCAGAATGTCTAAATCTCTCACAACATATTTTTAGGGCTGAGGCTGTGGTCTTGAGAGGACCATTTAATTTCCTTAAACAAACAGCAGCTTAAAAACATGCTGTAGAAAGGCAGCTCAAAAGAAAAGTTACAATGTAGAGAGGGTGACTGATTATTATTATTTCCTCACATTTTTTCTTTTAGTTAGGCTGTCTGTTGAACCCCACTGGTAAGGCTAGGTTATTTTAGGAAAGCTAAAGCCACCCTGGGTCTGGAACCCTGGCCCCTTCCTTTATTGTCATCTGACACCTAGAAGCTCAGAAAATGCAAGTGATCTGCACTAGACACAATCCCTCAAGCCCCATCTAAATGTGAGCTGCACCCCTGCATTAATTTAAATGGGGGGGGGAGTGTCCATGAACTGTCTCAGTACTTTCTGTACTCCAATAAATAACAGAGACATGTATTATTTCTACCCATCTTTTACCAAATATTCTTTCATATTTGTGTAACAGGTCAATCTGTCATTCTAATTTAATGTCTAAGCTCATCCAATTATATCAGGAAGCAACAAGAAGGACTAGCTCATAATAAAACCAAACACCAGTACAAAGGAAACACAGAGGCCATGCTAACACCCAAACCACACACAGTGAAGACAAGTGTGGACGTGTTTTTCAGATACTGAAAGGGGGGGGGGGAAACACCCTTCAAATAACAAGGAAATGAAATCATATCCCAGATTCAAACGCTCTGGAGTGATAAATCATTCTGGATTTTTAGAAATTGCACTTGCTTATGAGGTTCTAGATGGCTACACAGAGTGCACAGTTTTGGGTTTTTAAAAAACATTTATGATCAGAGTATTTTTTTAAGGGTTGTAACGCAACCCGAAACTTTTAAAAAATTTTTAATCTGCACTGGATAACTATTGAAGCCAATGACTGAAGTTATTGAAGACAATTATTGAAGTTATTATTGAAGCCAAAATGAAGTTATTTTGATATGACTAGCTAATTCAGAAAATATAACTTTTCATCTATAATTATTAGGCTTGCCAACATCCAAGGGAGAGGGCTGGAGATCTCTCGGAATTACAACTGATCTCCAGACTACAGAGATCAGTTCCCCCGGAGAAAATGGCAGCTTCAGAAGGTGGACTCCGTGGCATTGTATCCCTCTGAGGTCCTTCCCCTTCCCAAAGCCTGCCCTCGAGAGGCTCCACCCCCAAATCTCCAGGAGTTTCCCAAGCAGAAGCTGGCAAACCTTACATTTCTATCCAGGTCACTAGAATCTGTGTGCTATGTGCACACACACTTTCACCACCAAGTTGGCAATTTGACAAAGAGGGAACTGAAGGAGATAAATGAGATGTGAGTACACATTCTCTTGCAACATATCCAGGGGTCATTTCCTGCAGGAGTGCACAGTAGCAGAGCTCCGGCAGTAAAGAACCCAGGGGTGGGCACATGCTATACGCCCCACCCCCTGCTGCCAGCAGCCCTCAGTCAGAGCAAGAAGCAGCCAGGTAAGCTGCAGAGCCCCCCCCAGCCCCCCCCCCCGGTCCAAAACAGTCCAGTGGCACCTTTAAGACCAAGTTTTATTCAGGTACAAGCTCTCCCTCCTCTGTGAGGACAGATCTGCACCCCCCCCCCCAATAGCTAGCAATCCAAAACAGTCCAGTGGAGCCTGAGCGGGGGGGGTTGCCTTCTGACACACTTCTGGTGATGTCAGGGGGTGTGGCATATGCAAATAAGTTGTGCTAATGAGTTGTGCTAATGAGCTCCTGCACCCCTTTTTCTACGAAATGATCCCTGTATGTAGCTTCAGACAACAGATTTCAAACTAATCTACACAAGTTTCTGACTAATCCATATGATTCCTTCTCAATACAGTTTACAGTTCTGTGACAATGACCCTATTTGAAGTCCAGGTGGGTCCTTCATATGCTCAGCCACTCTTTATATGTAAAACGCTGCAATACCCTTTCAGAGCAACAGGTCATGAAATATCCCATATGCCTCCAATTCTTTTTAAAAAAGAAAACCACTTAATACAGAAGTGGAATATCAGTACCTCTTCCAGCTTTGGTTTCTTCTCTTTAGGAGGAGCTGAACTGCTGACCAAATTTGTAGACTGCGCTTGCACAAGATCACTGTCTCCTGCAGGCTTCTTTCACGACATGAAAAATTTTTAAGCAAATTAGTTGACTGAGATAAATTGTAAAATAGTTCCTTTAAAAGAAACTGTCCCAGATTCAGGTCAGTAGGCATTCTTGTAAAAGTAGCAGAACCATTACCTCTTCTGGTGTGGCTTTCTCGTCTCCAGCACTTGGGACAGCACTGCAAGTAAAATCAGATGACAGAGCATCTGCAAGGTCATCATCTGTCATAGTTGGCTAAACAAAAACACAAACTGGGTTACACTTATAAAAGTTGCCCAACAGCAGCTTAGTATTCGTGGGCAATGCGCATTTATCAATGTAAAACTTTGCTAGGATTGCCAACTTCTGATCTGAAGATAACATGACTTAATGGAGGGGTGTCGAACTCATTTGTTATGAGGGCCGGATCTGACATAAATGAGAGTTTGTTGGGCTGGGCCATGTGTGTCATAAAATGTAATGCCGGGTAGTGGAGATATAAACTTTATAAAGGATACAAACACAAAGGTTTTTTTTACTTAAAACAAAAACATGCCTAAAACATTAGCACTCTTGCAATATTTTGTCTATTTAACAGTGTCTGATAATGGACACCTCTTGCTCTGAATTACTGCATCAAAATGTCTGTACTGTTGCAATCTTGAGTATGCTGTTCAGGGGTATATCTGTAAGCTGCAAACCTATGATGAAGCAGCAGCAGCAGAACTGGAAGAAGCAGCAGCAGAAGACAGCCAGTTCCACTGTGGGCCCGACAGAAGCCCTCCGGGGGCCTGATCCAGCCCCCCGGCCGCATGTTTGACACTCCTGACTTAATGCCTCTGTAGAAGGAGAACATTGTCTGGGGGGTGGGGGGGGGAAACTATCTCATAAATGGCCAACTAACAGAATAAGATCGTAACGAAGAATTCTAGACTATGTTCCAGAGACCAACAACTTCAATACATCATATAGAATAGTGCACCCCTCCTGTAGCGTCCACATCAATATTTAGAGCTATTCCACTGACTTTAATGGAAACTGAAGACAAAACTTTATAACATGCCTCACTACAGCTGTAGGTAATCCAGCTGAATTTCATTTACATCAGCAAGACATCTCTAGTGCAACATTAGCATGGATTATAATGTACATTTATAAAGCAACGAACATGTAAAGACAATCTTTAAAACCTCATAATGATTTACCATTTTCATATTTGGGGGCCTAAAAAAATCTTAAACATACCTGAGATTCTCCCTTTGCTGCTGGTGGGGGCACTACTTTGCCATCTCCCTAAAAAAACAAAATTAGTTTTGTAATGAGTACTGCTAACAACATATAGAGAACGCATCTGAAATAGAGTTTGGGGAAGTTACTTACCTCCAATAGTTTCCTATACTCTGGAGGAATGGTGCCCTCTCGTATGCCAAGCTCTTCTATGTTCAAGGACGACATTGGGTCCTGCAACAAACAAAACATGACCCTTAGATTCTCTGCCCCAATGTGCACAGCAAAGTTAAGCACATATTCATGTAAGATTGTAAATGACTATGAAAAAGGGCTGACTAAACTTACTAGCTGACATAAAGAATAAAATAAATGTGAGGGTGTCAGCATAGTTGTTTAAATAAAAAATAGTGCACAAGGTACAGCTCTCTCTACTCTCTCTGTCTTTCCAAGCTGATGGAAATTCTATTATCTCCCCTTGAACTGGGCTTGAAGCCTAGACTGTCATCTGATCTCTACAGCCACACAGCCAAACTTCGAAGAGTATGTAATTTTTGGGAACAGAAGGGACATTCACTGAAGTCTCATCTACACTTTATGCCAAATGACTTTACCTTCATGGGATAGTTATAAAAAGCAAATGCAAAGGGGCCATATAAATAAAGGTCAATAAATAAAGGTCAGTAAAGGAAGCACACAAATGGAAAAAGATGTCACAGCAGGAAAAAGCATGCTTTGAGACTCTCAAAGTGGGCTATAAGTGGATGAGGCACACAGATCAGAAAGGACTACAACACAGAGATGCTCAAAAATTATTGGGATTTGTACATTCAAAAAAATGGTAATCAGAATGGTAATACAGCTTAAGATCATGAACAGTGATCTTTATTTGTTGCTATCTGCCCTGAGCCTGTTCGTGGGGAGGGCAGAATATAAATTGGAAAAATAAATAAATAGTACTAAGTAAAAATGCCACTCCTGAACCTTTCCTTTAATAAATTAAGGACTGGTAGGCCACGGATAAGAGAGGTTCGCATGTTGCCACATCTGAAGTAGACTGGAAGAGACAGTGCAGCCTTTCCATAGATGTGTCCCCTTCCTCCAACTGGTAGCGTGGACCGAAAAACGGTCACTTTTGAATCTGCCTGGCATTCTGAGTTCATTTGTTTTTTAACTTACTTCACTCTGCAGGTCAGAGGAAGGACTTGCTGTGGCCCTAGTTGAGGTGGTGGCTTAAGCAGAATTCCTTGATCACAAATAGTGATTGCAGCGTGGGCAAAATAAAGTTAAAAGCACTAAATCTGGTGACCAGCTAGAGGCATTGCTTCAAAGGAAAAAGGGATATTCCTCAGACTAAGATCTTAGTGCTAATGTGGCTGCAGAGAATGGGACAGGAACACTCCTTGGGGTTGCTACAATCCATGACCCAAGGACCTCAGAGCTAGGAAAAAAGGATCTAGCATGCTTCCCTCAAACATCAGTTAGCGTTTGGCAAGGAGGAGTCTGAACAGTACACAGCAATGTCCAGACGTTCAGGGATAGGGTGGAGTTACCAAGGTGTTAGAAGAGGTCTGGTTTCCTCTGTATTTTCTATAGCTATTGCCTACCATGTACTACAGTTATTAGTTCTGTTGTCCATTGGAGATCCTTTGTATTTAACAAAGTTGCAGCCTTTTAAGTATCCAAAAACTTGGTCAGCTGTCTTTGTTACATGTCTGTCACCATTCAAAACAGTCACTATCATAATTCACCCACAAATGCTGATCTAATAATTAAGGCATTTTTTCTTCTATACATGATATCCCATACCAAAACATGTGGTCCAGTATATGCAGGACTTGGTGGCTCATTTTCTTCAGGACTTCCCAGTGAATCTATTAAATCATCTAAGGCAGACTAGAAAACAGAGGTTTATGCTTTATAAATGTATGACACTCTAAATTACATTTTAACAGTAAGAAATGTAATATTATTTTATGAACCTCTATGCATTCATCACTAATTCCCATCTATGGTATGGG